ACTTCTTCCTTTTTCCATAATCTCAGTGGATTTTGCTAGTTTCACCCTGTATTTCAATTTTTCTCTAGTTGCACCCGAATTCCCCGGTGGAGGCATCAAAGATCTCCGCCTCAAAGTTGGTGAAACCATCAAATACGATGTGGCTATTACTGGTGAGCCCCTTCCTGAAGTATCATGGGTCGTCGACGGAAGGCCGTTGAAACCCGTTGGAAGAGTAAAGATGAGCACAGAAAGAGGAAAGACGAAGTTGAAGGTGCTTGGAGCGATTTGACATCTACAAATCCTATCTGAATGAATGGTTTTCTTTACAGATAGAAAATGCGGAAAGGTCTGACTCTGGAACATTCGTCATTATTTTGAAAAACGCCAGTGGTATGGCCGACAGTACGGCAAGGGTTACCGTAGTCGGTCGACCTACCCCACCAAAGGGACCACTTGACATCACTGATGTACATGCAGATGGAGCAACACTATCGTGGAACCCGCCAGAGGTCATATTTTATTTTTTTACGGCAAAGACGAAGAAAGTTCATTCTTTGAACCATGAGTCGTCTTTACTAGTAACAAAGCCAACTCTCAATTATAAATTTTCCACATGATCTGATCTGAAAAATTGCATCTTTAGGATGATGGTGGAGATCCACTGACTGGTTATGTGATCGAAGCCCAAGATATGGACAACAAAGGCAAATATGTCGAGGTGAGCTTTCCCGCAAACTCCCTTTTGACATTCCGCCAATACATAGCACAATAAGCTGATTACTTTTTGATTTGGAACAAAAATCAAAGTCGAACCTTTAGGTTGCTCGCGTCGATGGAAAAACTACAGAAGCCAAAGTCAAAGGCCTGAGGAACAAAGGAAACTACAAATTCAGGTAACCTTTGGCCCTTTTGAGTGATACTTTTACATTTGCGACTACTTCTAGGGTAAAAGCCGTAAATAACGAAGGAGAGTCAGAACCACTGACAGCTGACCAATACACACTGATCAAAGTAAGTTGTCTAGCAGTGAGAAAAAA